TGTAATGGGTTGGAATAGAATTTCCTAGCTCGAGATTGTGATGTGAAAATTGCTTGTTTGGTAATCTCATGGAAAAAGTGATTATATGAGCATGCTATATGTTTTATACTATGCTTTGTGAATGAGGTGGAAATTCTTATGTGATAATATGAATTGTTACCTTAAAGGTGTTTGCTAAAATGCCTATGTGTGGATTGTGTTCTTATCACTTGATGATGTATAACATGCATAGAAAATATGTTGGAAAAAAATGTTAATATGTGCTCCTTGAGATATTGACATTGTGATGATTTATGAAATTCATATACATATGATATGAATCTCCATGGAACATGTGGATATGTGGTTTAAAATTGCTCATATGACATTCATTACATGTGGGCACGATATTGGAATAACAATAATTCATTACATTGCATATGCACGTAGACATCACAATTTATGGGTGTGGGTGCATTGTTGGCATCAAACACCATGTCTGTGGATGATGGGTGGGCTCGGAAAAATTAGATTGAATGTCCGACTGATTCGCACGGTTGCATGAAAAAGACTTAGATTGGGGTAGCAAGAAGGGTTAGACTATCCCTCGGGTGAAATACCCGGTATTTGGATACGCACTTCTGTTGGTATGAGAGCCCATAAAGTGTGTTGGTGTACGCAGAACCGTTGGTGGAAGTCCATGAATTCTGTGTCGGTTGGGTGACCGTTGGTGTAAGTCCATAAATATCCATCCCAAGAAAGACCCAAAAATTTTAGTTAGCCATTGGGTGTGTAACACAAATGGCAGGGGCTTGGAGAGCCCGATTTTGATACTCACTGCATAACATGGGGTGAAGGTAGATAGCCGAAGCTAGAAAAGCTTGGTGCTAATACACATTGGCATGGTATGTGTTGAAGAGCCGGGAAAAGACTCTGGGTGAAAATGCGGGAGTGAATCTCATTTCATTCATGGCATGGTATGGTAAGTTCCATGGTAAATTCTAACATGGATTACATAATTCTTGCTTTGGAATGGATTTTGGTTGTGTTTTGTTGTATAACACATTGCATATGCACTTAGATGGGGAGTAGCCCTTGTAGGAAATTTTCTACTGGACGTTGGCTCACCCTATATGGAAAAATATTTCAAGTGCGGGGTTCGTACCAGTGGAGCACTCACATTCGGGGCCTCAAAGATGAAGAAAAGTCGGTTTGTGGCTTTTGGGAAACAAGTTTTGTAAAAACTTTTGTTAAAACCTCGTTCTGGCATTGTAAATACATTTAAACTAATTGTAATGACTTGAAAAAATGAGGGTTTATGTGAAAAACTCCATCATGCATGTTTTGGATGAAAATGAGATGATTTGAAATGGATTGAAAATGAAAAACAAGTGAAAAAGGCAAAACTGGACGAAGCGTACCGGTACAGTCTGTCCAGAAGGAAAATCGTACTGGTACTGTGTACCGGTACTGTCTCCTAAAATCTGAAAATTTTAAATTATTTTGCCATACTTTGGCCTTTTGTTTTCCTTGGTTCCAATGATACAAATGAAAATTAAATGAGGTATATTGAGGCTCATTGGACCTCTATTGAATTAAATGATTAAAGGAACACGAGTGATACATGTAAGTTATGATCTTGGTTACAAGGATGTGATAGACGTGATGTCGAGCCACGCGACCTTCACGAGTTTTTTCACGGGTTGACAAATGGTCAACAGGACTCCCGATTTTAGAGGCGTCACATTCTCACTCAAAACCACTCGTAAAATTTGGCATGATCAAATCAAATTCAAGTGTTTTGGGTTCCACACCCAATCACACTGCTACTCTAGGAGACAGAAGAATATATGGACTCTAAAATTCCATTAGTGTCAGTCACATTTCTTACAACACCCTTACCGTCCCATTTTGAAACTATCTCTTGTTTGTACAAAATTCCAAGCAAATTAACTAGTCTTATGCACTACACAAAACATTATTTTCTATTAACATCATTCTGTATCCCTCGAACTAAAACCGATTAAAGCCTACACAACCATTCAGATCCAACTTAATCCTCTGGTAATTCATAAACCTATGCTTTGATACCACTTTTGTCACACCCCCACCCCGGATCACATAGAGTGGGCGACGGACCGGCCATCAAGGCCTTAACCAACTAACCCTGTGCATAATAAATGCAAAATACAGTGGAAGACAAATAATAAAATGATCCATTTCACCGATCTAATGAATACCAGAGGAATAAACTAAACATCACCAACATCATTATTAAACTCATGTAAAACAATAACTAAACCATCAGGTTCACTACTCTAAAGTCTAAACATGAGCAACATTAATCCCAAAAACAATTAAATATTTGTTTCAAAACCATAAAAAAATATTTATTCCTGAAGACCTACAATAAAATAAATCTTCAATCCTTTGTCTATCCGGGGACTTACTCCTCCCCTTGATCCTCACCTGAAAAATATTAAATGTTTGGGTGCACACAAAGGCCCATGAATAACAACTACCTCTAATGAGGTGTGAAAATAAATTTCACATTTTATATGCAAAAATAAACTTTGTTACCTACATAAGTACAACAAATTGTACCTTAATCCCTTCCACATAACCATGTAAACAAAATGATCCCATGATCATAAATAACTTTATAAAAGAATAGACATTTATAACCCAAACACCCATTCATTTTCACAAATAACTTTATAAATGAAAGACATTTATAACTCAAAACACTCACACACATTCAGTTTCAAATACATTTGTTAAATCATGTTTGTTACCACTAGCCTGGTAACTGGCCCCGCCTCTTGTCATCACTAGCCTAATGACTGGCCCCATCTTTTGTTATCACTAGCTTGATAACTGGCTCATATGTGCACATCCCTATACCGGCCACGCCGGTATACAATGTCGTTAGCAATTAGACTTGGTAACCCAGTCCCCTTCTCATAAAACATGATTTCAACACACACACTAAAACTGTTGTTTTAATCCCAACGCACACAAAATTTCTCTTTCTTCATCAAAACACATTTAAGCAATGATATAAAATCATCCCATAAGTTTTTACAAACTTCACAAGTATAACAATTTACAATTGCAAAACATTTAATTGCAACCCCAAACATCAACGTATATCATATATATAAAAATTCATACACACGCCATAGTCTAAAACCAGAAGCTTCCTTTCCTTTTTTTTTCTTTTTCTTCTTAACATATTGATCAAATTCTACCAACTTAATTTGGGCAAACTTCTTCAAAATTAACATCTATAATGAAATTCATTTATCTATTTACTAATATTCTTCACCATGAACACACACACACACACACACACACACACACATATATATAATACAAAACTCATAAATTAAGTAATAAATTCATACTTTGATGGATTTACAATGCCCACCCATTGATTGTCTCGAACCTTCACAAATAAAAAAAAATAACTATAAAAATTATCTCTTCCTCGATCTTACCAAACTCACATGTATCAAAATTCAACTTCAATAATTTCAGGCATTGCATTATCAACTATGAGCTTGTCATTAATATTGTTCTCACCTTTTTATTTAACATTGTTTTCTTGGTAACTTTCAAGAGGTTCTCCTATATATTCACTGTAAGTCCACTTGACCTTATCTTACTCCTTTTTCTTTTCTTCTTAATAACCTGCACTTTTTTGTGGTTTGAACTTCAAGTTAGTGGTTTCAATCCAAAGTCCCTTCGCCTCACAAATCAATATATACCACATTATTAACCATCACTAGATTTTGCAATAAGAGGTACTTGGAGAGGCATACCCTCAAAAATCTACATCAAACTATAGATAGGATTACAATCTTGAATAGATTGAATACAAGTTCTATCGCCGTTCTACACTATCTCTATTGACATCTTGATTGGACCCAACATCAATTGAGTAATCATATCTTGCAATTCTTGTGAGGCTGGCTAAGTATCTTGGTAGAATTAGTGGAGTTGTTGTTGTCGTCTTTATTGAAAGTCAAAAATTTTAGTTCTCGAAAGAACCCCTCCCCCATGATAATCGTCAAGAAAGAAGTTGCCAACATTTCGTTAATTAGAAATCATGTTAGATCAAGGCTGTCATACCAATTAATGCAACGATAAACAAAGAACAAAAGAAAATCATAGTTCACTCGTGCAAAGAACACACTATGAATACATAGAAAAAGTAAGAGAAGAGTTCTGAAAATATATTGATTGAGTTGATTCGATGATGCTCCAAAAGGTTACTGATAATGCACAAAATAGTCTCGTGCAAGATCCACAGTCGAGTGTATGATAAGATATAATTAATGGGCAATTAATAAAATAATAAATATTGAGTCAACACACAGATATATAGTGGTTCGGTTCGAATGACCTACTCTACTCTGAAAAACAACAACGGTGACGGAGGGTCTTTATTGATAAAGTTAGGTGAGAGAGAGAGAGAGAGAGAAATGGTTAGCTCCGGGAGAGTTACAATAGCTAGGAGAGAGAAAAGATATTTGTGTGTAGAGGGGTGTAGATGTAGAGTTCAATATGTTCTCTCATGTAGAGAGGACTTACAATGTATAGGCACAAGGGCAAAAGTACTAATTCTCTGGGTGTCTACAAAAAGTAATTGCCATAAAAGGTGGCCTTGATCTTCTAGAAGGAGTATCCTGATAATTTCTCCTCATGTGCTCTAATTCTTCTTGGACTCCTTGGAACTTGAGCTGGGCTGGATTTGCAAACTAGGCTTGACCTTCCTTTTAGTTGACTAGGGCTTGCTAGATTTATTAGGCCTGACCTGGTTAGATTTGGGCTCAACATTTGCCCCCCATGCCCTAAGCCCTTGAGGTGGCAAGAGGTTGAGGACATGAGAGTCTTTGGACAGATAAGGGTTTCTTGTTCTACACGGTGGTAGTTTCTTTGATCTCTTGCTCTGTTTGCACCTTGAGAGCTCGTTCTCTTGATTTGATAATCACTATGGTTGAAAACTCATTATTTCGATGGCTATTCCAATAGCTAGGTAAGCTCGAGGCGAAGTCTCCTCTTTTGCCATGATATTTGCCTTCAGGCTTTAAAAAGGCATTTTTTTGGCAAAACCATCATATCCACTTTTGAGCTAGGGTTTAAAAACCACCATTTCTCTATTTCAAAATCCATAAACTATTGAGCAATCTTGAAGAAAGTGACCATGGAGAAATCACAGAGAGAGGAACAACGAGAGTGAGGCTTATAGCGCTAGGGTAGCTGGCGGCGCCGATAGTGAGGAAAGAAAAGACGACACTTCATTCGATGAGGGTGATCCAAGCCTCCGCGAAAGTTGGATGGGCGTAGGCATCGCTGATGGGGTCGTCGTCTTGGGTTTAGGTACTAGTGGAGAGGAGCCAACCTAAGGCAGGGCTGTGCTAGGCGAAGCCATGGGCGATGCCGTGAAACCTTAGGCGATGCCAGACGATGCCTTGGTAAAGCACCAGGCCAAGCTAGATGGGTCCCTTGGCGGCGGTGAACTAGGCAGAGGCTTTGACAGCGATCTCGCTAAGAGAAGAGAAGAGGTGGAGGNGAGAAAAGATATTTGTGTGTAGAGGGGTGTAGATGTAGAGTTCAATATGTTCTCTCATGTAGAGAGGACTTACAATGTATAGGCACAAGGGCAAAAGTACTAATTCTCTGGGTGTCTACAAAAAGTAATTGCCATAAAAGGTGGCCTTGATCTTCTAGAAGGAGTATCCTGATAATTTCTCCTCATGTGCTCTAATTCTTCTTGGACTCCTTGGAACTTGAGCTGGGCTGGATTTGCAAACTAGGCTTGACCTTCCTTTTAGTTGACTAGGGCTTGCTAGATTTATTAGGCCTGACCTGGTTAGATTTGGGCTCAACATTTGCCCCCCATGCCCTAAGCCCTTGAGGTGGCAAGAGGTTGAGGACATGAGAGTCTTTGGACAGATAAGGGTTTCTTGTTCTACACGGTGGTAGTTTCTTTGATCTCTTGCTCTGTTTGCACCTTGAGAGCTCGTTCTCTTGATTTGATAATCACTATGGTTGAAAACTCATTATTTCGATGGCTATTCCAATAGCTAGGTAAGCTCGAGGCGAAGTCTCCTCTTTTGCCATGATATTTGCCTTCAGGCTTTAAAAAGGCATTTTTTTGGCAAAACCATCATATCCACTTTTGAGCTAGGGTTTAAAAACCACCATTTCTCTATTTCAAAATCCATAAACTATTGAGCAATCTTGAAGAAAGTGACCATGGAGAAATCACAGAGAGAGGAACAACGAGAGTGAGGCTTATAGCGCTAGGGTAGCTGGCGGCGCCGATAGTGAGGAAAGAAAAGACGACACTTCATTCGATGAGGGTGATCCAAGCCTCCGCGAAAGTTGGATGGGCGTAGGCATCGCTGATGGGGTCGTCGTCTTGGGTTTAGGTACTAGTGGAGAGGAGCCAACCTAAGGCAGGGCTGTGCTAGGCGAAGCCATGGGCGATGCCGTGAAACCTTAGGCGATGCCAGACGATGCCTTGGTAAAGCACCAGGCCAAGCTAGATGGGTCCCTTGGCGGCGGTGAACTAGGCAGAGGCTTTGACAGCGATCTCGCTAAGAGAAGAGAAGAGGTGGAGGCAATGTCGATGCCGTTCTTTGGGGATTGGGAGGTGCCAGCGGGCTAGGTGACGCTGATATGATGCATGGTGAGCGATGGGCAGGTGGGTGTGAAGTGGGTTGTGTCGATAAGTGCAGACCAGGCATCCCAGGCAACGACAGAGGCTGGAGTTCCATAAAGGAGGGCTACGCTGGAGCGACGAGATTGGGGTTGGCAGGTCGATCCCTATAATTCAGTCGAAATGCAACATGGACGTAGCTGGATTCAAACACAACTAGACTCCACAAGAGTCCAATAGACACTAGTATTCCCTTGACATTGAATTTGATTATGTCTTGGTTCTGTTTGTTTCCAGGTACCCACTTTGACAAGTGCATTATAGGGGAGGCTACTGAGACATCAATGAGCGAGGCAAAGGGACTATTGGAGATAATGGCTTGAAGGTGGCCTCCATATTTAGCTCCATTGACTATGATAATGATGTCGCTCGTATTGTGTCTTCTTACCGCATCCCTCTTGTTGTTCTGTGTCATCGAGCGGAGGAGGATGAGCCAACATGTTGAGACATTTCAAGTGAGATTGTTCCTTATGCCCTGGATGTGAGTTTGAGGTTTTCGATACCTAGTCCTATTTGTCAGATTCTGGGGCATCTATCGTTGGCTCCCAACAGGTGGAGCGTGATACTGGCATTCTTCTCATTATGGCAGCTAGTTCACAGTGCTAACGTCCCTTCCCCATTCGAGGAGTTCTTCGCCACGTATGTGCTTTTGGATAACCCATTTTCTCATCAAGAGTAGTGTCGTTTCGCCCTAAGGTCAGGCAAGTTCATCACTGGGCTTTCCTTCGAACTGTCATAGGTGAAAGTCTAAGTTCTTCTTTGTTGGAGGTGAGTGGGCCACCGAGGGAGAACGCGGCCTAGTGCCTTCGAGGAGGGACACCATCCCGAGGACCAAGCTAAGTAAGGATTCCACTTTCGTCTTTACTTCTAGTAATTACATATTTGTTCTCACAGTTTGATTGGTTTCTATGTAGTTTCACCCACATTATCTGCAGAGCAGGAGAGTAAGCTCTAGATAGTTCGTGACCATCCTTTCAAGGAGTTTTTGGAGATTATATCCCTGTCAGGTTGTCCCAAGGTTTCTCATCGACTGAAGAGGAAATGTACCTGATCCTTCCAATAAACTCTTGATGGTTAAGACATTGTAAGTTTTTGTCTCACACTAAGTTTGCAAGTACTTCTATTGATAGGGTGATAGTGGAGATTGTCTGCGCTTCTAGGATGACATCTTCCCCTCCTTTTAACAGGGCTAGGTCTGATGCCCCCGATGTTTGTTGGTTGAGGTCTGTCGGCCAGGATAGTCCCTGGGAGGTGGGACTTGATGATGCCCTCACTCCTTCCCCTGTTGTGGTAAGATTGCCTTCCAAAGTTCATCCCAGTATAGCCGTCGGGATCGAGGCTTCAGTGTAGTCTCCTACGAGGACTGGGCTTTGCCTAGCAATCCTGTTTCCAACAATGGTTTGGTGTCCATGCTGCAGGACATGAATCTGGCCAAGGAGCGATTGTTAGAGTTTGTGACCGCCGCGGAGATCCAAGAGGTTGTTTCTCAAGGTCTAGGGGGCGTCATCGACACATCAATGAAGGGCTTTGCTTTGGTATGCCCTTTGCTCATCTCTGGTCTCGTACCTGGCTTCCTTCTTTCATGTTCTGGCTTTTGGATACCTGTAGGTGGCTGCCACCTTTCCTTGCTTGTTTTAGAGCACGTTGAAGCTTAGAGAGGCACTCGATAGTCAGGCTGTGAAGAGCCAGGCATGGAGGGTTGCTGAGGAGCAGCTAGGGCTTGAGAGGCTGCCGAGGAGTAGTTGAGGCTAGCACACGAGAAAGCTGCCATACTTGAGACTGACCTTTAGGCGTCCCGTGAGAGGGCCGCTATAGCAGAGGCTGTCCTTCTAGCAGCTCTTGAGAGAGCTACCAAGACAGAGGCTTACTTCATGGAGTTGGAGAAGAGAAATGCTGCTGAGAGGGCCGTGGTAGACGCCTTTGTTGATGGCTACGAGGAGCTCAAGGGGAAGGTCTCAGCAGTGTTCTCCGCTTATGACTTTTCTGGTTTCGTTTCTTACGAGGTTCCCGAGTCTAATGACGAGGAGACGAGTGATGATAGGAGGAGAGACAGTGAGTGATGTTAGGAGCACGGTATCTTTGTATTTATGTTTTTGTTTCTAGGTTATGTTCTATCTTTTGTAAATATTTTATGAACTTCAATGAGATACAACTTTTTGAAAAAATCTTGTGAAATTTTATTTCATAATTCGAAGTAAATATTAAAGGAAATTGACCAAAACAAAAATAGATAATCTAAATGGTGACTACTGATTTATACATTCATTGCCTTGCCCCCAGCTACTGGTAATGTTTCTTTAGGTGTTCTGTGTTCCATGGATGGGCCCAAAATTTTCCCTTGGAATTCTAAATTCTGTAGGTGCCCGACTTTACAACTTCCGTGACCATGTAGGGTCCTTCCTAGTTAGGTCCTAGTTTCCTTTCCTGGGAGTATTTAGTAGGCAAGATGACCTTTTTGAGGACTAGGTTCCCGGGCAAGAAGGAGTCAGGCTTCACCCTGAAGTTGTAGTATTTGGTCATGCGACGCGTGTACTCTGTATTTCTGAGCATGACTATCTTTCTCTCCTCATCTACCAAGTTGAGGTTGATGTGGAGGCCTTATTCATTACTGGTAGGGTCATGGTGCTGGACCTTAAGGGAGTGTACCCCAATCTCAACGGGTATGACCTCCTCTGTCCCGTAGGGCTCCTTTGTGTCGTTCGGTAAGCCCATAACACTCTCGGGAGTTCGTCTACCCATCGTTTTTTGACATTCTTCAATCTAGTTTTCAAATTACAGAGGATGGTCTTGAAGGTGACCTCTACTTGCCCGTTTGTCTGTGGATGGGTAGGACTGGAGTGGGGCTGCTTGATCTGTAGGTCGGCACAAAAGCTGTTAAGGAGTTTGTTGTTAAACTGCTTGGCATTGTCACTCACAATGACATGAGGTATTTTGAAGCGGCAGAATATACTCTTCAATATGAAGTCTTTCACCTTCTGGTCTATTATTCTGGCTAAGGCCTCGGCTTCTATCCACTTAGTAAATAGTCAATAGCTATCACTGAAAACTTACACTGGCCCCGACTCATAGGTAGGGGACCAAGGATGCCGATCCCCCACATGGGTCATGGGCTCTAAATGGTGGTGAACTCTTCAGGTGGCTGTCTTGGTACAACCGCAAAGCGTTGGCACTTATCGCACTTCTTGACGAACTCTCGGGTGTCTCTAATCAGGCTAGTCCAGTAGTAACCTTGCCTTACTACTTTGTGGGCTAGTACATGTCCTCCTGAGTGATTTTCACATATCCCCTCATGGATTTCCCTCATGGCATAATTGGATTCATCGGGGGTAAGACAACAGACAAGTGGCAGTGAGTAACTCTTTTTGTAGGGTGTGTCGCATAAGATGACGTACTTGGATGCTCTCATCCTCAACTTTTTGGTTTCCATTGGGTTGTCCCGGAGACAGTCCTCCTCTAGGTAGGCTCGGATGGGTGTCATCCTGTTGGCTTTCGAGGATGTACAATTAACGTCGTCCTCCTCTATCTTGAAGGTGCTTGGCTCGAACCGGTGGCTTGTCAGTGCTAGGCCCATGAGTACGTTGGCAAATGTGAATTTGGCAAGGGCGTCTGCCATGGTGTTCTCTGCTCGGGGCACATGGTGGATTTGGAAGTAGGTAAACCTTTTTACCAAAGCTTGGGTTACTGATAAGTACTCTTGAATCCTTTCTTCCTTTGCTTCAAAGTCTCCCTTTACCTGGTTGACTATCGCTGGGAGTTACTGTAAGCTGTCAGGCAGAGGGCCTCCATCTCCAACGCAAGCTTCAAACTTGATATGTGGGTCTCATATTCAGCTTGATTGTTTGATGTAGCAAAGTGGAGGGAGATGGTGTACTTCAACGGAGTGCGATGGGGGCTGATCAGCATTAGTCCCGCACTGGCGCCCTCGCTAATGGAGGACCCATCCACGTTGAATCTCCAACCTGGTACAATGGACGATAGTGAGGTTGTAAAGGGCTTCCATGGAGTAGGCACAAGGGAGTCGGACACCTCTAGTCTCGAAGTACGGTCTCTCGTGGTCTGTGGACTTGTCTCTGAGATGTTGGACCCTCTCAAGATAGTGTCTGGGCTTTCCTCATGGTGCGTGGAGGCAGTATGTACTCAGTAGGTAGGCGCAAGAACGCATGTTACTACCTCCTGGGACTCCTATGGTGGGGTGGACTCCTGTGATTCCTGCAGTGGAGTAGAATCCTAGGACTCTTGTGGCGGTGTAGATTCTACCACGAAGTCTACAAGTGTTTGTGCTTTGATAGCCCCCCTCGGTTGATACTGCACATCAAACTCACTTAACTCGACGACCCACTTGAGTAGTCGGCCGGGCACATCAAGCTTTCTCAGAATTCTTTTAAGTGGTTGATCTGTAACAACCATGATGGTGTGACTCTAAAAGTAGTGGCGTAGATGCCTGGCGACTGTGATAAGTGCAAGTGCCAACTTTTCAAGCTCTGAGTATCTCACCTCTGCTCCTCGATATGCCTTTCTTACATAGTGCATAGGCTTCTGGATGTCTTCATCCTCTCGGATAAGGACAAAGCTCACGGTAAAGGGTGAAGAGGAAAGGTAGAGATACGGGGTCTCTCCAAATATAGCATGGGAGAACAAAGGTGGTGTGACGAGGTAGACCTCGAGCTTCTAGTAGGCCTCCTCTGCATTTGGTCCCTACTAGAAAGACCTACGGAGGATTTTAAAAAAAGGCAGACACTTATCTACTGATTTCGAGACAAACCTGTTCAGGGCCGCTATCCTCTCGTTAAGGCGTTGGACCTCCTTTACCGAGGTTGGGGACTTCATCTCTAAGATGGCTTTGATTTTTTCTGGGTTGGCTTCAATACCCCTTTTGTTGACCATGAAGCCTAAGAATTTTCCTAAATTGATGCCAAATGCGCACTTTTCAAGATTCAGCTTCATCCTGTAGGCTCACAGTACATCAAAGATTTCCTAGAGGTTTGTCACATGGTCTACCGCAGCTTACTCTTCACCAACATATCGTCTACATAGACCTCCATAGTCTTTCCGATCTGAGCCTTGAGCATCTTGTTCATGAGGTGCTGATATGTGGCTTCCGTGTTCTTGAGTCTGAAAGGCATCACCCTATAGTAGTAAGTGCCATTTCGGGGTGACAAATGATGTTTTCTCTTGGTTTGGAGGGAACATTCTGATCTGGTTGTACCCGGAGTAAGCATCCAAAAAATTCAGGAGCTCGTGTCCCGTAGTGGCATCAATAAGGAGATCGATGTGTGGGAGAGGGTAGCAGCCTTTGAGATAGACTTTGTTGAGCTCCGTGAAG